AATGACCTATATGTGCATCGTTCAGCGGGAGAAGCAAGACACAAAATGGGTCGTGGCCTCGGCAATGTATAGCAACCACAGAGGGGAGAGCCATCAAAGAATAGAGTGGGGCCCTGGCCCGTGTGGCTCAGTGGTTAATGTGTCTGCCTGCCACCAGAGGGTCTCAGGTTCAAGTCCTCCTCCCTTCCACTCGCTCTGAAAATCAATGGAAAAAATATCCTCACTCCTCAGGCAGAGATTAAAAAGATAAATAAAGTGATTATCACAGGACAGCAAGTGACGCCTATTCCTGTCTAAACTTCACTGTTCAGAGGCAGGGAGGGAGGGCCGTGGCCCAATTTGGGTCTAGAAAGGTCTCTTTGGCAGTGCATACGGGAAGGGTGGAGGGGTGAAGTGGGAAGGGTGGAGGGGCGAGGAGAAGGCAGCTCCTAGCAGGCTAAGCCAGAGGCCTCAGCAGTGAGAAAGGACAGAGTGGAGGCCGGACAAAGGGGAGGGTAGGGTCAACCCCGACAAAAGCACATTATGTAAGAGACACAAGAGCAGAGCAGAATCCCCAGACGTCTCACCCCAGGGACCGGCCCAGGCCGTGGCGAAGGGCTGCAGCCCAGGTGGAGCCAGGCACTGTTCCGGCCGCTGGGTCTCTCTGCAGAGCCCGGGCAGCCACTGGGCAGCTGCCCATGTGGGCAGAGGGCGTCCAAAGCAGACACCTCCATCCTTTCGCTTCTGGAACCTGCAGCCACTTCCTAGAGTGGAGAGGTGAGTTTTTCAAACCGATTTGGGAAAGGGCGTTCATTGTGTTGCTCAATAAGCAAACAAGACACCTGTACGGGCCGGAAAGGGGTGTCCCCTGGTAACAGCCTTTTCGGGGCTGAGCATCACTACATCAACATGGGACCCGAGGCTCCATCCGGAGGCCTCTGTGACCGGAGGCAGGCTGGGGGTGCGGGGTGAGGGTTCGGGCAGCCTCTGATGACCAGCCACACACTGGACACAACCAATGTCCGGTATGAGGGGTAATACACCCCACCTGCCCCGAGAGACACCCAGAGGAAGAAGCAGACGGGTGTGTCCTGACGATGCTCACAGTACACTGACCGAAATAAGTCAAACCACAGAAACACATAATGGGACTCTTCTCATAAACAGCTGACTGTGTGCATGCACAGGGCTGCAGCCGGGGCACGCCACACTGGAGTGACTTCTTCTGGAGCGGATCGGAGGGAGGAGAAGGAAGGGAGAGAGCGTTGGGCTTTCTGCCTCACACTCCCACACCGCGTGTTCGATGCCTCTGCGACTTCACAATGTTCCTAGCGCAGTGGTGGGCAAACCTGAGCCCCATGCGGCTCTTTGGCCCCTGGAGGGTTCTAACGCCCCCTCTTCAAAATAGACTCGCCCAGGCCGAAAACCGACTTCTGTGCATGGGCCACGAAGTCGCACTGTCCTGTCCGTGCGCACCCGCACGTGGTATTTTGTGGAAGAGCCACACTCAGGGGGCCCAAGAGCCGCATGTGGCTCGCGAGCCGCAGATTGCCGACCACTTGTCCTAGTGGCTGCAGAGAGGTGGGAAGGACTGGAGGAACTGGGCATGACTACTAATGGGGTCGAGTTTCTTTCAGGGTGATGAGAATGTTTGAAAACTGATTGTGGTGATGGTTGCACAACTCTGAATACACACACACACACACACACACACTGACCTGTGCACTTGAAGTGGGTGAATTGTTTGGCAGGTGAGTTATGTTTCCATAAAGCTGCTCTTTCGAAAAAGAATGAGCCAGGGGAAAGGTGATCCTGGCGGGAGGGAGGGCACAGGTGCGGGCATGCTCCCTCGCAGCCCTCTCAGGAGAGGATGTGTGTGTAGGGGGTTCCTCAGCCCCCCTCCCCCCTTCTCATCCTGGTCAAACAGTTTCTAGAGCCATGGAGGGTCCTTCAAGGCTGTACGAGAGGCAGAGGCCCCTCCAGGCAAGGCCTGGCTTTCTGCTAAAGGCGCAGCACTGGCCCCTACTTGCATATCTTGAGCAACGGTGAGCTCACTCCCTCACCTGCTCCATGCAGGTTTATGTGGCTGAGGCCACGCAAAAAATCCCCGTACGGCTCTGACCAGGGCCACCCAGCACCTCCATGCTGTTGTCCCAGGCCTGTCCTCTGGGCCTAACCCCACCCTTCACCTCCTGGTTCCTGTAGGGTCCCCACACCGCCCTCCCGCTCCAGATAACCCAAGTCATCCCACACCCGGGCCAGTATGGAAGGAGCCCAGGCAGCAGGGTTTCTGAAAACCCCGGGCAATTCTTGAGTCCAGAGACCCTGACCCCGGGACGGCACAGCCCTCAGAGAAATGGGACCTGACCCACAGCCACCGCTGCCCCCTTCCGGCTCCACACACCTGGCCCCCCCCCCTTGCCCACCAGAGAACCAGTGCCGGGGAGACCGCCTCCATCAGAGGTGTTTGTGAGCACGTTCGACGCCTCAGCCACCGGCCTGCGCGTCTCGCCTTGCTTATCTCGTTAAATCAATAGGACTTCATAGGAAGGGACTCTGAGTCCACTTTACAGATAAGGGCGTGGAGATTAAGATGCTGGGCCAAGGTCCTGCCAGCTAACACGCCGGCGGAGTCTGTGTGAGGACCCCGGCCTGGCTCAAGTCTGGAGGCGACTTGTGGGGAAGATTCGGGCTCTGAGCTGGGAGGAACTTCAGCCATCGGATAGCACCCCTCCGCCGTCCTCCACTGGGGAAACTGAGGCCTGGACAGAGCGAGTGGCTGCCCAGCTGACGCAGGCCTTGGGCTCCGGGGCCGGGGCTCCGTCCTCCACGCAAACTCCCTCAGTAAGGCAGGAGGAAATCGTCCGCCGCAGCCCCCCGGGGCCGGTGTGAGAACAAGCAAGCCCCTGCCTGCCAGAGGCTTTGAAATCCCAGGATGAAAGGGCCTGTGACAGCAAAACAGCAAAACAGCACCGTGGGCAGGAGCGCGCCTGACCCCTGCCAGGACTTGCCCGCTGGCATTCACCTGCTCACCTGCTCGCTCACCTGGGGCGGGCCAGCCAAGCCACAGAACCCCAGCAGGCCTCGGAGGGAGCTCAGAGGGGGCGCTGTGGGCACGGGTGTTCCGAACCCTGCCGTTCCTATGGGGATGGCCCCAGCTCTCCTGGGCGGGGAACAGGCCCAGGTAGGGAGGGCACTGGAATGTTAACTGGCTGGCATGACAGTGCCCCCTGCTCTCTGGGTGGAGGGAGGAGGTGCAGGCATGCCCTCATTCCCCTCCAGCACAGGTTTCCAAGGCCGAGCACTTCCCTGGGAGGGGCGGGAGGCCTGCAGGCTTCCTCCCGTCCAACCGGCCACCCCCCTGCAGCAGCCCCTCCAGGTGAGCTCCGACCAGGAATCCGAGGCATCTGAAGGGGGTTATTAATAGCCCTGGAGTGCTGGGAAGAGGGAGGCCGGCCGGCCCTGAGTGGGCACAGCTCCCCGCCACCCAGCCTGGTCTCCACAAAACAAACCAACCCTGTCCGGGCTGACACTTCACCTTCTGTGGTCTCCGCCTCCTCCCCGTGCCCGAGGGGGGCCGGGCGGTGCTGGCAGTCCTCGCCTGGGAGGTGGGAGGAGGGGAGAGCAGGGGCGGGCGTGGGGAGAGGAAAAACCCCACTGGAGAAAGTGAGGCACACCCACCGGGCCGGGCGAGGGGCCCCCACAGGAGGTCGTGAATGGACGGCCTGTTGCAGAGCCCCAGGAGGCGGCCGCCGCCAGGGAGGGGACAGGAAGGCTCCGCCCGCCTCCCCCTCCCGGAGTCCTCGTCCTCCAAGCAGAGTTCCAGGACTTAACCCCCTGCTGGTCCCGGGCTGCAGAGGATCTGACTCATTTCGACATCACGCTCGTCTCAGGCCCAGCCCCAGATTCCAGCACAAAGGGGGAGCTTAGGCCGGGGGCCCAGGCCACAGTCACCCGACAAGCCTTCCCCGGCCCCTGCTTTGAGCCCGGAAGGGGGTGGGACCCCGAGTGGAGGGCCACCTGGTCCCTGTTCTCCGGGCAGAACAGTGGTTGAAACTTCTCTGCGGGGCAGACGCAGTGCTCCAGGCACAACGGACAGGGAGAGGCAAATACTGGGGAGGAATGGTCTCCCCTTTCCATGGCTGCCCCGCACCCGCAGGGACCCGAACCCTGTGCCAAGCAAGATACCTAAGTTACCCCACTTACGTCTCTCAACAACTCATAAGTAAGGAAGAAACCATTCACCCCATTTCCAAGAGGAGAAAACCGAGGCGCCAGGACCCTGACAGTCCTGCCTGAGAACTCACGTGGGAACCAACCCCGGGGTTCCACCCAGGCAGCCTCACGGGCCGGGGGTGTGCCCCAGAACTGAGGCTCCCAGGTCCCCCTCCTTCCATTCTCTGGGGCTGGAGAGGAGGAGCCCCGGACTCGGCTGCAATCACAGGCTTCCCCCAGGGAGCAGCAGGAGCACCCTGCTGCCTGAGCCACAGGATGGGGCTCTGACCCGCCCCTCCTGCGCACCCCAACGATTCCCAGCCCCCTGCCCAGGCTCAGCCCCGGCATCTATGGGCTCAACCCTGGGAGTCTCAGCCACGTGTCCTGAGGCCGGGCCGGGCAGGGGAGCTGGGACTGGGACAGAGCGGCCTGGGGTGATCCGGGCGGGATATCCGAGGTGGAGGGGGTGGGGGGTTAGGGGAGGAAATAGGGGAGGAAATAGGACATACACCCCCATTGCTCCATTGGGGTGGTGTTCTGGGGGATCCGACGGGACCGGCACCAAGGGGGTCCCCTTAGCGGGGAGAGGGGTCCAGTCCTCTCGCGGGGAGAAAGAGAAGCTCCGAAGAGGTTGGGGAGGGGCGCCCAGACGTTGGGGAGACCCGCTTGGCCGAGGGCCTCGGTCCCAGCCACGGCCGCCCTCCCCGGGCCCGGCCCTCCGGACCCCAGCCCCGCGCGGTGGGTGGCCGGTGCGGGGCGCGGCCAGGGGCCCGGGGGGACCCGGGCGGACCCGGGGCCGGACTCACCTGCGATGTGCTGGCGCCGCGCGTCGTCCAGGTGCGTGGACAGCACGTCCCCCATCGCGAAGGTCCCGGCCGCCGCCGCCGCCCGCGCTGCTCAGACGGACGCCGCCGGCGCCATGAGCCGCTGCCGCTCCCGGATCCGCCGCTCCCGGCTCCCCGCTCCCCGCTCCCCGCTCCGCCGCGGCCTCCGCTCTGCCCGCGCTCCCTCCGCTCCGCCGCGTCGCCGGGGACAGCCCAGCCCGGCCCGCCGCCCGCCCCGCCCCGCCCCGCCAGGCGCCGCCCCGCCCCGCCCCGCCCTCCTCGGCCCGGACGGGCGGGCGGAGACAAAGGGCTGGTCGGGGACGGGGACCGGAGAGCGCGGAGGGCGCGCGGGACCCGGCCTCACCGGGGACGGAGCCGGGGCTGGGGGGTCCCCTGGTGCCACCCGCCCCCTGCCCCGAGCGGGAGGCAGCCCCGCCGAGGAGGACGGGGTGGGGCGGGGGGGAGAATTGGGGGGCTGGGAGGGGGCGCCCCCCTCTTCTCCGCACCCTGCCCTCCGGCCCCAGCCTCGCCCGCCGCGGCCCGAGCCCGGGAGTCCCCGCCTGGGTCCGACCCCCGGGGAGGTGTGCCCGCCCGTCCTGCACTGCCCGCCGGGGAGGGCCGGGCGCTCAAAGCCGTTCTTGGTCCCGGCGGCGGGAGCACATTCCTCGGGCTCGGCATACGGGTCCTGCCCTGGGGAGGTGGTGGCCCGTGGGACCGGCCCAGGGAGGAATGGAAACAATAATAGCTCTTTCCTAAGACTCAGATTCGAAACCCAGGGGCCCGCAGGCATGGACTGAGGGCGCCAGGCCTGGAGGGGCTGGGTTGGGTGGGTCGCGGGTACCGGAGGAATGTGTTTCAACCCCAACCTTGGGACTTGCCGAGGTGGACAGATGGGTTACCCACCGCGGTTCCCAGATCACGGGCTGGGATGGCCGAGGCCTTCCTTGGCTGCTGATACTCAGACCCTCTAGGCTGCACCCCAAGAGTCATCCAGTTGTATTCTCTAGGAATGGGGTGTAGGGGAAGTGATTGCAAAAAAAAAAAAAAATCAGAAGGGAGCTTTAGGGGAAGATGGAAATGGTCTATGCCTTGGTCATAGTAATGGTCATAATACAGGAGTCAACACTCAACCTATACATATGAATGATGCATTTTGTTGGGTGTAAATAATGCTTGAAGAAAGTTGATTTTAAAAGGAAAAGATATATGGAGCCCCTGTGTGTGTCAGAGGACACCTGGCTGGCGATGGCGATACATCAGTATAACAAGGTAATCGAGTCTCTGCCCCGCAGAGGTTATGTTCTCCTGCTGGAGAGAGAACAGGAAATAAATAGCATGGTTTCAGAGAGCGGTATTCATTAAGATAATAAAACTATGAGGGGATAGAGTGGCAGGTGTGGGGGTGCCACCTAGAAAAGTGGTCTGGGAAGGCCTCTCTGAGGAGGTGACACTTCGGAAGCTGCTCTGTGAAGATCTGGGAACAGCTACCATTTATGGGTCAGGTACCCTGCCAGGAAGCCTCATCTGCCCTCCTCACAACTTCTCTGTTGGAAGAATCACCAATTGTTCTAAAACATGATATTGTATCATATGCACATGGCAGTCCTTACTTAAACTCTGAATAGGTGGGCATGGAGCGGGCATGCTAGGTAGAGTGTCAGTGTGAAGCCCTGGCCAGGTAGCTCAGTTGAGGAGTGTCATCCCCATTCATCAAGGTTGTGAGTTCGATCCTTAGTCTGGGCACATACAAGAATCAACCAGTGAATGCAGAAATAAGTGGAACAACAAACCACGGCTAGTCTCTCTTTCCCTCGCCTTCCTCCCTCTCTTTCTCTCTCTCAAATCAATCAATCAATCAATTTTTAAAAATAGTGTCCATGTAAGACCCTGGAGCCCTTCGACCAGCCCAAGACGCCTATAGGGAAGAGAAGAGGGGGTCCCTGCCGCGGTGGGGGGCCACTGGGAGGCCCTTCCTGCACCAAAGCATTAGATTGCTTTACTTTATTCTGGGAAGATTGTAAAGTTCTTTTTTTTTTTTTTAAATATATTTCTTTATTGATTTTGGAGAGCAAGGGAGAAGGAGAGAGATAGAAACATCAATGATGAGAGAGAATCATTGATTGTCTGCCTCCTGCACACCCCCATACTGGGGTTCGAGCCTGCAACCCAGGCACGTGCCCCTGGCCGGAATCGAACCCGTGACCCTTCCTTCAGTTTGCAGGCCAATGCTAAATCCACTGAGCCACGCCAGCCAGGGTGTAACGTTCTTTAACAGTTGTCAGCAGCCTTCTATTTCCTGTTAATAAATCAGGCCAGTGGTGATCTTTGGGTGGGGGAAAAAGGACAGTTTTTAAAGGAAGGAAAATTGAATAGAGTCATCAGTACTCTATGAGGAAGCGGGAAGGATTAGGGGTTCCAGAAGCTGGACATCGGAAGGATTTCTCTACAATAAAGAAGTGGGAGCCCCTGCCCTTCCACCTGAGAATGTTTTGCTTTGTTTTCCTCGTTCTCAAGATGCATTACTTTGTTTTCCTCACGAGGCACCACGCGTTATAAGTCGTAAGCACGTGACAGCCACAGGACCGCCCTCAGCACACCCAGGGCTCCCACAGGCTCTGGATCTCACAGGCAGAGCAGTTCTCAGAGTCCAACATCACAGCCACGTGCTCCTTTGATGTTTGGGTTACTGAACACAAGCTCACTGGATAATTTGTCCTCAACAGAGTCCATTCCTAAAAGCCTTCGCTGTGCTTCCTGCCAATGACCGCCCTGATTCCATCTGAGCAACTTCTTCATCAGAACCTCCGTACGTTTTTGTTCTAGGGCAAGCATGTCAAACTCGCAGGCCACGTGCCTCGTTTATTTGCAAGGCATGCGGCCCACCAGCCTCGAGTTTGACATGCTTGCTCTAGAGTGTAAGAAAGGCCATTACAACACCCACATGTGCAGGCTTCTCTTTAAGGAGGTGTTCGATCTTGTTTACTGCTGACGGACAGCAGCCCCAACTAATGCAGCGGCATCCTCCCAGTCCCTGCTCTCCGGGTGTCTCCGGCCAGAACCTGGTCACCTCGGCCTCTCTCCACCGACTTGCAGTGCATTCACTTCAGGCCCTTTGTTTTGTTTTGTTTCCCTTTGTTTTGTTTTATATTTTATTGATTTTTCAGAGAGGAAGGGAGAGAGATAGAGAGTTAGAAACATCAATGAGAGAGAAACATCGATCAGCTGCCTCCTGCACACCTCCCACTGGGGTGTGCCCACAACCAAGGTACATGCCCTTGATCAGAATCGAACCCAGGTCCTTTCAGTCCGCAGACCGACGCTCTATCCACTGAGCCAAACCAGTTTGGATGCTTGGTTTTTAGTTCTGAGTAATTAAAACATCTTTTCACGCATTTGTTAGTTATTTGTGGGTTTGTTTGTTTTTTCTTTATTTTTGTTTTACTTTATTTTATTTTTTGTGTTTTTTTTTTTTTTTTTTTTTTTTAATTCCTATTCTCTGCCAGCTTTTCTCCTGGGATGTCTATCTTTTTTATTTGATCTTGAAGCATTCTTTCTATGGGAAGAATTTCTGAAGTCTGATCTTCTCCTAGGGCGCTGAGGGCCATCTCTGTCCACCAGGCTCTGCCCCACCCTTGCCTTGGCCCAGGCCCCGGGCCTCGAGCCTCATGGAAGATACCAGAATGTGAACAAAGGCTAGCAAGGGTCCAGATCAAGCGCAGGGAGGGAGGGTTCCTCCTGCCCACCTGCCAGGCCTGCCCCCTCCCTACAGCTCCTGATTCACCCGGCCTATGTCAGGAAGTGGCTTCTGCCAACCTGCCTCCTGCAGGGCCGCCCCGCCCCACGCACCCACACTAAAAAGAAGGACCCGAAGGTGATGAATAAGAACACTTCACTGTGAAAGGGAGGGCCCAGCAGGCAGAGGCCAGAGCTTGGCCAGGAGCCAGGAGAAGAGGAGGGATCTGCCCCAGAACACCCAGGAGGGTCCCCGGCCCGGACCCCTCCCAGGGTCATTGGCAGGAGAAGGACCTGCCTTGACCCCTTGTGCCCCTCTCCCTCCCAGCTGGCTCTGAGCTGCGGCTCTTCTCTCCCCTCAAACCTGTCAGACCTGAAATAGCCCAGGAGAAAAAAAAAACAAACACCTCGGGTAAACAACAGGGAGTGTGAATGAATCAGGATTTTGTTTTGAAGAAATATCATGTGTCTTCTGCTGTTTACCCAGTTGGCATGGCCCGTTGTGCGGAAGGGACCCTGGCACCCCGCCCGGACCTCCCCTCTGTATTAACTGTTGGGCGGTGGTGGATGGAGCCTCGGCTCAGCCTGTGCCATCTGTCACCTGGCCTTGGGCTGCTAAACTGCCTTCTTGCCCCTCCCAGTGGCCAGCTCCACCCCACAGCCAAGGCCAGGCCCACGGCCAGCCGCCGCCCTGGCTGACTGCTGCCCAGCCCAGGGCTGGCCTCCGGCCTCCGGCCTCCCTGGAAGCCAGCGGGGTTGTTCTAAAACACCTATGTGACCAGGTGTTCCCCTGCTTCCAACCATCCGGCTCCCACTGTCTCAAGACAAAGTCAGGCCCAGCCGAAACTGGTTTGGCTCCGTGGAGAGAGCATCGGTCCGTGGACTCAGGGGTCCCAGGTTCGATTCCGGTCAGGGGCATGTACCTTGGTTGGGGGCACATCCCCGGTGGGAGGTGTGCAGGAGGCAGCTGATTGATGTTTCTCTCTCATCACTGCTTCTGGCTCTCTGTCCCTCTCCCTTCCTCTCTGTGAAAAATCAATAACATATATTTAAAAAAAAAAAAAAAAAAAAAAGATAAAGTCTGACCCAGACCCTAACATGGCCCCCTCCCCCTTGCCCTCTCTGACCTTTCACATCCTCATACAGCCGCTCTCCCTCCTGCGTCAGGGCTTGCACGTGCTGACTCCCTTTCCCCATTTTGCCCCACAAGCGCCATTCATCCTTCAGACCTCAGCTAAAACCGCCTTCCCAGAGAGGTCTTTCCTGTCCCCGCCCCATGTCTCCATAGCAACCGGCACATTTGTA